TCTCACTGCATACAAGTAGTTTTAACAGCTTTTCAATTCAAAACGACTTGAAACCTATTTGCGTTGTCCAACTTTTGAAGAAATCATTAAAGGGTTGTAATGATATAAAAGTTTCTTAATTCTAATCAGGTTTTCTTGGCATAGTTTATAGTAAGGTGAATAACCAACACAACAGGAGCGTGTTGTTTTGAAGATTAGGTTAAAACCTCCCACTTAATCTTAAGTAATGCTCAGCAAAATTGTTTGTTTAATATTAGGAGGTGCAAACTTTTTAGGCGTAAAAGAAAAATGGAAAGAATTTACCTAATTTATTTTGAACCCCTAGGTTGTAAAATTGAATGCTGATTACATAAAGTTTGTTACTGACCAAGAGCACATAGCTTGAAGTTTATTTTTAATTAGCAAAGCAATACTTGCATTCTTCTTACGAATGAAGTTGTTATTTAGATCATTTGACCCATACCTTTTTCTTCAAAGTTTTGTAATGATATGCTCTTAGATAAAGCTAGTTCTGATAAGCAAATTAAATATTCATCTTTGTCCTTCGATGACATTTTAAATTAATTTAATGACATCCGAAGCTCACAAACAAGTTTATAACATTTAGACTTAAAATATATTGCAAGTATGGATATATTTTAAGCAAAAACGTTTATTATGTTAAGAAAAAGAAAGAAAAAATATTCTTATGAACTTGGCAGCACGAACCTGCATTGGCATTTAAAGTTTTGATTCGACAAAAGAACTAACTTTTTAATTTATAAGATATTTTCATAATAAATAACTTTGTGACTTATTCCTTGTTTCTAATGTTTAATATAAGTTACAAACACGAATATTTGATAACATGGCAAGTTAAAACCTTTCCCTCGCTAAGCGAAACAAATGTATACAAACGTTTTTAACAACATCTCGTACAGCCTCAAATATTTTAAGATTTCAATATCACTTAAACTTTCAACAGCAGAATCTATTTAGATCAGATTTGTCAAAAAAATTGGAATATTTTGTTTTGAACCTGATGAAGTATAAACTTTACCTTTCGATTTTTTATCGCTTTAAAAATGGCGTATTTTACAGATTTGTCCTTAAGTACATCAACTATATACACTCTCAAATTATGAAATTTATAAATATAATGTTTTTGTAAAAATATCTAAACAATAACTTATAAAAATTTTGATTAATATCAAGATGATAGAACTTCGAGTCACTTCCTAAAACTAATAAAACTAAAGGTTTTTGCGCTCTCTTCATAAATATCGTAATTGCTTAACATCAATTATATGTGCAAAACTTCAGCATACGTTTTGTAGACTCAGAAAAGATGATCATTTAGTTTCGGAGAAAAAGTATCTTGAGGCTAAATGAAAAAAAATAAAAGGAATTTCCTTCTTAAATTCTCTTCCTATTCCCAAGTTTCTCTCATAACTATTAAATCCTTTAAGATCCTTAATTTTTGTTGCTCTATTTTAAATTTTTTCTTTGATTTCACGGTTTTAAGAAGTGTGCAAACAAGGGATCGGTATTAAAGTTTTATTATTATTAAATGATCGGTATTAAATGTTTTATCAATATACTGAAAAGAATATTCTTTTTCATTGCAGTTTCCGACAAAACGACGTCTATAAATAAAATAATAGATTAAACAGAAATAAAAAAAATTAATAAATTATTACAAATGTCAAAAAAAAAAAAACAGCAACAATTATATTATTAAAAAAAAAAATTACAATAACAAAAAGTTTAAAAAAGCTAATTACAACATTTAAACTGTTAAAAGATTTCTTTGAGTCAGAGTTTGAAACCTGCTTGACGAAAATAGAGCTTCGACGTATTAGTATAAGAAATCCTTAATTATGAGACGGAGAATAATAAACAGTGGTATGGCCAAGCATCAGTGGTGGTGAAAATAAGTCTCCGAATGAGTTAAGCATTATTAACTCAACTGTTAATGAATATAAAGAAAGTGTGAAAAGAGAAAACAATGTTGTTATGTTTAGTGTTATGGCCTATAAAGACTTATCTTAAAAGTGAGAAATAAAAAAACCATCAGGCAAGCTGCATGTTGATGTTAATATTCAAAACATAATAAAAGTTAAATCTATAGGATAAAGTTAAAATCCTAAAGAACAAAGCATGAAACATTGAAATACTTATAAATAAATTAAAAAACAAGAAAGTACTAAACATAAAATACTTTGAACAAATATTTACTTCTTGATTCTTCTTCTTCAACTTACATGAAACAAAGAGTTCTTTTGAGTGAGCTAATGAAAAAAAAAATTTATTTCATTAGCTCACTCAATGTACAGAAATGTACAGAAAGGATCGTCATAGTAGAGGAGGAGTTATTGTGTTTATATCAAAGATTTAAATAGATCATACAAAAAAAACGATTAAATTTTGAAGCAAAAAAATATTTTAGAATTAATTCTTTTTTAGAATAATTTTTTTTTAGAATTAATTCTGAACTAGTTTTTACGGCACAGTAAAATGCACTATAGTTGAAAATTCATAACTCATTCTATTAAACAAGTATGAATAAAATGTATAAATAAAAAGTTAAATGTTCTAGTTTACTGATTGGTGGTAACTTCAAATTATGTCTCGGCATCGTGGTATGAAGGTTGTTGTATGGTAAGTTCAATGGATGAACAAGCTAAAGTATTTACTGAATGTTTAAATGAATGTTTTAATTTTTAAAACATCCTTAAACCAAATTTTCCAGTAAAACCTGATGAAGATAACAATATACTTGATTTAATTTTACTTATTTATTTACTTTATTTATTTCCCAAGTAGCTCTTACGGTCTTATTACAGAGCCTTGCGGATAAGCATTTAATTGCAAGTTCACGCCTCCTTCCTAACCGATGTCGCAAAACATGCCAGAGGTGGGGATTGAACCAGGGGTCCTTTGATAGTTTAACTTATTTGTACAAATCTCTAATAACTTGTATTATATTTGGTTTAAAGCAAGTTTTTTAAATCAAGAAATTTGATTTTAAAACTGGAACATAGGTTTGTTAACAATAAAAATTTTATAACCGATTTGCTTCAATCAATTTTTTTTTATGTCCTAATTAGATAAAAATTAAAAAATAATAATTAGCGAGAATATAAATCTCGTAAGAATAAATAAAATTAGTATAAAGAAATTCTTGATACTTTTATCTATATACAAAAATATTTTAAAAAGTATTGGTCATAAACACATAAGATGTGGGTTAGGTATACTATTATATATTATTTTATGTAATAAGCTTCATATTCATTTTCAGAGAAATTTAAAAATGTAAAAATATGTCTTCAAAAGATGAAATAATTTCTTTTGCTTTTTCTTGAATGAAAGAAAATTTAATTCATGAGAAAAATCAAATGGGTTGCCAAATTAAATTATAATTTCTTAAGTTATTTTTATTTTTATCTTTTAAGGTATATAGATTATAAAAAGAAACAGGAGATGCGTTGCTTTAACATTTGTACATAAAGCAAAATATATTAAAAATACTTAGCTGATAAATATTAAGAATTTTCATTTGAAATAATAATAGTTTGGCATGAGCAAATTAATCTTTATAATTAATAAGACGAGCAAAATTCTGCTGCTGACGATAAAGAGGTAGCATTTTAGATTTATTGGTATTACTCAAGACAACACTTGCATAATTTATATGGCGATGGATTAAAGAGAAATATGATTATGTAAAACAGTGTTTATTTAAAACATTTCTAGCTTTGTATATTACTCCTATATTTTGAGAAGTTGCACATCAAATCAATATGATTCCAACTAAGGTTTTCATCAATATTGATTCCTAAAAAGTTAATAATAAGTTCTCTTTTTATTTGAATTTTGTCAATAAAAAGTAAGGGCATGACATGTTGTTTTTTTTCAAGTTTGATGAAAAAGTATCCATTAATTTTCTCAACATTTAGTGACAGCTTATTCAATTTAAACCAGTTAGAAACTTTTGTCAATTCATATTTTGGAATAATGTTGTTATGTTATTATGAGATAAAAAGAGATTAGTATCACCGGCAACATGACCGCCATCAAATTTGAGGCTTTAGGGAAATCACTAATGTAAATTAGAAAGAGAAGAGGTCCTAGTATAGAACCTTAAGGGACCCCGCATCTTATATCTAATAACCTTTTTGAAAGAAGAATGCTGATCTTTTAAGGAAGATGGGACACAAACTGCGCAACGGCTAATATGTTAGTATTTAAAATATATTTTCTAATTCAGTTTAAAAGATAGAAAAAGTAATTTTTTCTAATATTGCATCTAACTTTTAACCCCATCCTTTTACCCTTCACCCTATTCAAAACTCTTTTTTAAAAAGACAAAAGCATGATTTAAAAAACTTTATGCAAAATTTATTTCCATTATATGAAATTGGGGAAACTCTATGTTTCTTTGTAAAAGAGAATTTTACAAAGAAGCATAGAGCGCCAAACTATTAGTATGAATGGTAATTGGCATGCTTTTAGAGCGATTAAAAATTGCAAAGAATGTTGTGGGATATTTGATTGGCTGCACCCAAAAACATCATCTATAAATGACAACTATCATGAAAATGAAAACAAGGGAATCGTGTAAAATTAATAATGCGTAAACACCTCAGGAGGTTAAAGAACCCCTGGTTACTGATTTGGGATAAGGATGTAAAATTTGCTTCAAATAGTTGGAGACCACTGTTTAAAAAAATTATGAACAGTTTTAATTGACGCTGTCGTTGTAATGGCTTTTTCACACTTTTCAATATTTTCTTTTGTAACGGTTTTTAAATCGGCGTTTTACGTCTAATGACGGTCAATAAAAATTAGACCAAAATCTTATCACAATAGAAAATTAGTTAGCATCTGTTTTTGATGCATTAAAACTTATTTTAACTTTATATACAAAAAGAAATGTCGCTAAAATACTTAATTTCTGTTAAACATAAATACTCGCTATGTTGAGACTTGAACAATTTTTTTATTTAATTTTCTAGATTGAAAAATGAATACAAGGAAAATGGTTCAAAGTGTTATTTCCACAGTGCTTTTGACGTCAGTAGTATTAAACACGACTGCCTGTTATATTATTTTAGCTAAAGTGAAAAGAAAAGAGATAACGCATTTATTTATTGTCAGCATTTCTATTACGAATTTGTTAGAAACGATAATTGGATTAACACCTCAATTAGCAATGGCCGATGAGTCTTTATTGGAAAGAACTCCGTTATGCATTGTAGGTGGTTTTGCAGTTCTAGGTTTTGCTATAACTAACATAACTCATTTAGCAATACTTTCCTTTATCAGAATTGTTGCCATAAAATACCCGAGGCGTTATTTTCAATATCACAAAATGTTTTGGTGCAGAGTAACATCAATTTTAGTATGTTATGCGTATGGTTTTTTATGGGCTACACTTCCTATGATTGGTTGGTCAAAATATGAGCTTGATTTTGATAAGAAACGTTGTTCTTTGGATTGGAAACTGACAAAATTTAATTCTTTATCTTATATTATAGCCTTTTTATTCTGTTGCAACATTTTACCTGGAATAGTTATTGTGTTATCGTTGTATTTTAGCACAAAAGAAATTCGTTACCGAAAAGCATGCAAATTACCTAAAAATACAAAAACTGATCTTTTAGAAAAAGAATATTTTCGAGTTTGTTTTTTATCAGCGGTTACGTATTTTTTCTTTCGGACATCTTACGTAATTGTTGGTGTTTTGACATTGCTAAAAATTGCAATACCGACGCATTTGGCAACAACCACCGCACTGTTTTCAAACCTCTCGACCGTTTCTAATATTCTTATTAATTGTTACGCTTTAAAGTCTTTTCAAAAACAACTGCTAAACCTGAGGATCATTCAAATTTTGAAAACCTTTTTTCTTGAATTACGTGATTGCAAAAAAAATAAAATAAATACCATACTGCCTATGCATATTTTCTTTGGAATAAAATAGTTTTAAAACATTTTGATTTTTCTTTTGAATGGAGTTACCTCTCATTTAAAAAAAAGGCTTCAGGAAATCATTTTGTCTATTGACGGTAATTTTTTGTATTTTTAAACATTCAATAATTTCCTTTTTTATTTTTTATGCATTGATGCAACAGAATATGTATATAAATGCATTAAATTTTTTTTGTGCTTTATACACTTGACCATGTAAGTATCCATTTGATTTTTATAAGATTTTTAAATTTACGAGCGGTTCTCAATGAAGATTTGATGGTCTTCTGTGAGTATCCGCATTCTTTTTATTTATTTAATTAAATACTTGAATATTTTGTTTATTTATATTTTCTAGTTGTAAAAGGATTATTTAATCTTAACGATTTAATTTATTTGTATAACAACTTTTATACTTTGTTTAAATTTTAAATTACAAGTTCTTTAACAGCGGTTGTCTGTGACAAGACCTGAAGGTTTTCTTTGAGTATCCGCGTTCTTTATTTGTTCTTTATTAATTTATTTTTACGATATCTTCACTTGTAATTTTTCTCTTGTATATTTGTATTTGTATCTTAAACATTGTAAAAAAGAACAATATATATATATATATATATATATATATATATATATATATATATATATATATATATATATATATATATATATATATATATATATATATATAAAACGAGAAAATGATGACGCATTTAATAAACTTAAATTTTAAAAATATTTTGACAAATCTACTATGCTTTATTTTATTCAATAGATTTTAAATTTAAAAAGCTGTCTTTAACGAAAGTTGACTTGATTTGACTTGTTAATCTCCTTTCATCGTTTTAATGACTGTGATAAATATATAATAACTATTACAAAAATTTTGATTGGTTGGTGTTTCTGTTTTGCGTACGTTGATTATTTTTTTGTTTTTAATAGATAATCGTTAAATAATTCGTATTTCGCCTAATTTTTGGAGTTTTAAATAAAGTTCAATATATCAAACCCACCATCAATGTTCTTTATATATCATAATAATTAGTTGTTTAATTTATTTTGAGAATTGCTTAAAAAAAAATATAATCAAAAAATTTTTTAATTATTTGATTTTTATATTTGAATTTTAATCAAGATCATTAATTAGTTTTAACCAAATAATAGTATGATTTAATTGCACATTCTAACATCCAGTGCAATATCTGTTCGCTTTCTTTAAGCTATCTTTTTAACTCAACTTCTTTAACTTTCATTCTAATATTCTTCGTTCTTCTTATACTCACTTACTCTTGGTTTGTGGAAGCGGATTATGATGCTCTTTAGAGTGCTGAACTTGCCTTCCCATGCTTTGGTATGTGGCTTCTATACGGCAATTAGTCGGTCGAGGAGAAGTGTAATTTTTGTTCTTATTTCGGATTCTAACTGCCTTTTGGTGGGTTACGAAGCTGTTAGGATGCAGGTATAGCTTAAGATCAAAACCGTGATAGCCGATAGAGGTTGTACGTCTTATATATACCTTATTCCCATAAACACCGCCCTTAGGCCTATTTTTAAGTGAAGTTTTTAACTTAAATTAAATTTGTTGGAAAATTTTTCGAAATATCTTTATTTTAACATATATTATTTCAATTCTTGTTATAAGCAATACATTGATATTTGCAAACATACATTGCAAACATACGCAATCTATAGAGTATAAAGAGTTAAACTAACCTTGAGTTTAAAGTAAATGTTTAACTCTCAAAATTAAATTTTAAATTTCAAAAGTGAAGAAAAAACAAAAGAAATGATAAAAATAAAAATAATAAAATCAACAATTCAAATTCTTTTTTATAAAAAACGTGAACTGGTTTAAAAAAATCCTTTGTAAAAGTAAAAAATACGCCATTTTTCAAGGAACAATCTTAATCAGGTGGTTTAAGGCCAGTCCAAATTTTTATAGCAGTTCGACTGACCTTCTACATATTTCATTTAGAACAATCTGTTTTTCAAAAATTTTTTGTCGAACTAAATAATACCTAGCGAAAGTTGTCCCAAATTTAAAAAAATTTTATTGACGACAATATAAAGGTTGACGTAGATTGGCTTTTAACTAAAAAAAGAATATTTCAAAAAGTAGTGTTTAAAATCATTAAAAACAACTTTTCTAGTAATCTAGAACCTAAGATCTAACCTCGCAACTTTGAGTATGTAATGAGTATGGAGGTAGCTGCAGGGGAGAAACTATCAATGCATTGAGTTGGACTAACGACATGTTTGTAGTGAAAATTGGTTCAGTAACAACCTCTTTTTTCCAATCAATAAGTTCTTTAATGTCACATGCATCAAGGTTTATTGTTTGTGGAACTTTAAAAGGTCTAACATCATTTGAGCCCAGCTCACTTCCCTTCCTAACGGCCAATATTGTGTCGACTGCAAATAACCTTTGTTCTGAGTTATAAGAACAGAGAAGCGAGACAAGTATATTCTCAGGATGAGCCCACTAAGATTCATTTCTGAGATAAAGTTTAGATGCTTCTTTAATCCTATCATCTTGCTTCTGCCAAAGTCGAAACAGCTTTAAAAAATGACAAGAACCGTATTTAATGTCATGCTTTACTTTAATCTCAAAGAACATTGGAAGATAAACCTGAGTCACCCAAGTTGCAAGCAGTCTTAAGATCTCTGCATTAACAGGTTCAAGATCATGCTTACTTATATAGAGAAGCAAGCATCTCATGCCACAAGTAAGCCATCGACTGTGAGACAGTCTACCACATTTAAGAGCTTCTACTTCAGGATCAAGCTTTCCTTTCAGAATTGCATTCAAGTACTTCCATGCAACTAAACTGTCAGTGCTCATTTGCTTTAAGAAATCTTCACTGATATTAACAAGAGGCTCCAGAAGCGAAATAGGAGTAAATTGAGTAGTTCTTTTAAGATTATCAACTTTGAAAAATAGTTTACCTACTGCTCCTCACCATCCTTTATATGAAGAAGTTGGTTCATCAAGTTTTTCAACAATATGACGGAATGGAAGCTCATTAATGTGAAGCCAGCAAAAAGATCTAAAAAGTTTTCGATTGAGAAGTTCTTCCACAAAATGAATCATTCCACCTTTCCATCCAGACATTTCATTTGTAGTATCACTGCCAATTAGTTGGAGATTAAGATCTTTACCTCTTTCCATTAACCAGTTGAATAATCCAATAGCACATTACTTCACTGGTTTAGATGTTTCTGACTTAGGCTTTGGTGTATAATGAGTAAGGTAACGACCTCTAGGTTCTTCTGTCACAGTTATATGATTTTCTTTGATAATTTTTTTTCTGAAGGTGCCTGTGGTTTTATCATGGATAAGAATTAAAGTTTTGTCTTTTCTACCATCAACAAAAATTCCAGTGATTATATTTCTTTCACAGTCGAAATTTTCTTCTATTCTGGAATACTTCATAGCACGCTCTTTGGCACGAAAAATTCATGCTATCACATATAAAATTTTTTTTATCTTCAACAAGTTTCCCTGCTTTCATAATATCTTTCAGTAGATCATTAATGATTGCAGTAGTAGCAGTCGATGATACACCAAATCTAACAGAAGCAACGGCAGCATTTCTAATATCAAGGTAGTTTCGCTTAACATAATTATCTTGCTTTTCTCTGGTCGAGTCCTCTTTGCTATCACTGACTATATCACTATCACTAACTTTATCGATATCACTGACTTCTTCATTATCACTATCACATCATTTGAATTATTATGCATTTCTATTGTAACATCCACATTTTTAACATCAAATCTAACAGCCGGTGGATAAAATGTTTCTAATGACTCTAACTTAGATTTTGAAGCTTCTTCTCGTTGTCGTGCGAGTCTCGCTTGATCGATTGACTTGCGTAAGTGTTTTAACCTAAGTTTGGCAGTCTCTTTAACACCCAAACCAAATTCTTGCATAGATGAAATACTGCCTTGTTTTTCTCGCTGGTTTTTTATCCAAATAAGCTCTTTTTAAGGAATTCTTAAATTTAAGTCACATTTGCAAAGGCAATGAGCACCGCTATCACAAGATTCTTTGCAAGGGGGATCATTCTCACTGCAGTAAACAATTCTGCATTTGCAAAGAGCAATATCTAAAAGTTTATCAAGCTTAGGCTCCCAGTGTTTTATGTAAGATTTTTGAAATTTGTTTCGAGCTATCTTAGAGATTGCAGACCAACTTCTACTGAGTCTTAGTGTTATTCCTTTTGTTCCACAAACTATGGGTTCTTTAAATTCTGTGTTGGAAATAAGCCATCGTTCTGCAACCTCATAAGCAACATTAGAAAAAATTTCTTGCAGTAATAAATTACGCTGATTTTTTTCAAAGACTAGTATTCTGTCTCGCTGCAGATCCAGACAACGCTGTAAACAGTCACGTAAGGTTGGAAATTCAGTTTGGAGGAACTTTCTAGGACCTCCAAGATACTCACTTAGTTTGTTGTTAATCGATTTTCTTGCTAACTAATAACGCCATTTTTCTTTTTTTAATATATTATGAGTCTGAAAGATATAAAGGCAGCAATAACAGCAATTAATTTGAAATTAAATTTAAATAGTAATTATAATATTCATAAGGTATATTTGTATATTAACTGATACTTATACATAAAATAATTTTAAAAAAAACTTAAAACATATTATCAAAATTAAGCATAGGGCTAAACAGTATTTTAAATAATTGTTATGTACATTTATAGCATAAATAGTCATCAATTAGAAAAAACCACAATATTTTTGGAAAATTAAAAACGTTTTCCCGGTAGCAAGACTTGTTTTTTCACTAAAAAAAATTATACCATTCAACTCAGGGTATATGAATACATAGGAAAAGTGATGTACTGAATGAAATTCATAACATGCAAAAGTATGATATACCCTAAAATATATATATATACAAATCTATATATTTAAATATTTTTGATGACTTTATTTGAATGGTTTAAACATTTAAATATGTAATTAAATGAATTTTAAATTTTTAAATACTATTCTGAATGTTTTGAAATTAAAAAATAATTTAAATTTTCTTATTTCAGAAAACAAATTTTCTTATGCCTCAGCGTGATTAAAAACAACAAAAACTCAACAAACTTTGACAAACCTTGTAAATAAACACGTTATAATTGGAAATAAAAGTTTTTTGGGTCAATGAATTAAAACTTTTAATAAAAGTAAATTTGATACGCAACTTTACCCCTTTACCGCTTTCGGTAACCATATGGCTACCACAACTTTCTAAAAATAATAAGGACTTATATACTTCGATTTTTAGTCTAGTTTGTTTAAATATAATATATGTCTAAAGTAGGTGGTAACCATATGGTTACTCCGAATAATTAGTGTATATAATTGAACATGTTTACCTTTTTTTATTATAATTACTGCAAGTGAAATAAGGTAATGATTTTTTGTTTTATTACTTTAATTATGGAAAAATGCACTCAAAATATTTGTATTTATATTCATTGATATGCTTATATAATGTTTTTTAATATATAAACATAGCT